ACAAAGCTCAGAGGGGGCAGGCCCCCTTGAGAGCCCACTTTCCACAGGTCCACACTAGGATTGAACAGCCCTTTCCCTGAAATCTGTTCACCCACCATCTGATAAATCGCCAACATAAAGGAAAAGAAGCATCATCCAAACGTAACACATGGAACTTACCTGTCATCTTACCAATAACCTTAATCTTCGGCATTTTCTTCATCATCATTTTGATTAATCGTGAGGGGATTTTGCACATAAACGGGAATTGTTCTAGAGGGCAGCAGGAGATGGAAAATGACAACTCGGCCAGGTGAGATCTCGCAATGTGTGCTATAAAGGCAATGGGTAACTCACATGCCTGTTTGAAAAGCACAAATTAAATCTACAGCTGTGTGTTGTTTTTCAAAATTAGCCAAGCGCTTTCAAATGTGGCTGTTCGTGATGGGTACAAACATGATTAGTCATCCCAGATTGGCTCACTTAGTAGTAGGGTCACCAAAACTTCAAATACATTTAAATAATGACACCATGAAATGCCAACTAGCTGTCAGTGACAGGCCAAGATCTGGTCAACACTAGGGACAGTACAAATGTCATGCTGGATTTCCTGTCAGGCCTCCCACCCCCCAACAGATACAGCTAAAAATAATCAATAGTTCAATAAACTCTTCCATGTGTCAAGGCAGCGCTAGACAATGTTATTCCAATGAAGCAGTAATCACAGCACCATCACTCAAGACATAGCACTCTGGGCAGTGGACCTGAGGTCAAAGGGCAGGAGGTAGAGGTCACATCATACCTGCAGGGTTTGCTGCACTGTGTTCTCACCATCCACCATGTCCCACATGATCCCTGTGAACCGTTTCAATCAAACACAAACAGCAAGAGGGAAGCTCATTGAACTGTATTAAATTAAGAACAAGGTAATTTGGTCTCAGGTTACAGCTCTCAGTCCAGCCGGTGTTACATGCTGTGCTTGTGGATGTTGGTGCAAAGGCACATCCTTTGCTTTCTATGTGCAGAAGGCAAAGACCAGGCTCCACACCAATGCATTCCTGTAGCTCAAGAGGTGCTGATATAAACACACATTACCCTTTTGGAGTAAGGAAGTCACTGAATTAAATTAGAGATTAGTAAAACATGGTGGATTTGTGATGCTACTGACTGCAACACAACTCGTCACCTATACTTTTATGTGGCATCAAAAGCACAGGATTTGCAAAGCTTGAAGCAAGAATCTTAGTACAATCCAAAGTGCCTTTATCCTCTAACTGCTGCAGCTGCCCCATCAGCCCAAAAGGGGTCGCTAATGACTGTGCACTATATGCATATGACATGGCACCCTTGCTCTCAAAGAGATTAAAACCAGCAATTAAACTCTAATTATGTTTAATGACTCTCTGGAACTTCATGTACTAATTTAGTTTTCAGTTTGCACAGAAAATGAGTTCTCCTCCCCCTTTAATAAGATGATATACCTGTTAGGAAGAAATTCCTATTTCAGGGAGTTAATCTACCTTAAGGTGCTTGTGTTATTTACTTTTTTTAATTTTAGCAGGTCTAATTAGCAACTGAGGGAGAATGTTAAAGGACTGTGTTAATAATGTCTGGCACAGTTTTACACATGTGGAAAGCTAATATTAAACTACGATTTAATTTACCAAGGCCAATACATTTACAGACTTTGCTATTGCTTTTTTAAACAGTATACTGTATAAGGAAGACTCAAAACTAACAGCTCCTGTAAGCACAGCCAGTCCTGCATCAATTTCACTGCCTGTTTTTTGAGTGGTTTACATCAACCAATGCTGTGTGAAACTCCAGGAGTGGTGATTACCAGTTGGATGATAACAGCTAACTGAAGTCTGACTTTAAAGATGTCCAAAGTGTTGTACGGATTTTTAAAAGAACTTCCTAGGTGCACTTCTGACAACCCATTTTTTACCTAAGATTCAACTGTGATAGTTTGGAAACTCAAATTACAGTAAGTTGAAGCATTCTTCCACTACAGATAGACATTCCCTCTATGATACTTGGTTTAATTCTTCTTTCAGCACGGAATTAAAGCATTTAGTTAGAGCCCCATTATCCAGCAGACACCACAGAATGCAGTTACCTTCAGAAACATATTCTTTCAGATCAACATGGATAGCCTTAGTTTTAATTGTTTTCGTTTTCTATTTAGATCTTTGCTCTACATTCCCAAATGAGGAAATGAAAATCTTTGCTCAGACACAGTTTTATTTCTGAATACACATTCCTTTAGGTACCTACATTTTATAAACAGAGAACAGAAGTGGAATCTATGTGGAAGTGCAGGAAACATTTCTTTACTTAGGGCATTGTGGAAGAATGGAAAAGATAGCTTTTCATGTTTGTTGAAGCTGATATTCTGGCTTCTTTCATGAAACAGCTGGATGAGATTCTTGAATCTCAATGAACTACTTACCGAATGGGCTTGTTGGTCTTAACAATGTATTTTTGTTCTTATGTTCTTAGAGTTCTCTTACACAGTCAGATTGCAACTAGCAAGACTTGTTGAGATTAATAATTTGCATTCAGATCCAAAGGCTGATTAGTTTCTTTCCTCTCAGAAGAAGGACATCAGCATTCATCCAATCTACGATACCTGCACTAGGTGTTTGTAAATGTTAATCAACATCTGCCTCAGAAGTGATCCATCTGGCATTTCTATGGTGAAGAGGTAACTTTCATCCACATATATTGTTACAACAACAATAACAAAACTACCCAGGAAAGCTCTTGCAGGCTGCAGTGTTGAGAACTGTGATTATCTGTGGCTTCACCATGATGAAAAAAATAATACAAGTAATACGAGTAATTGAGAAAACACTGCACTTTGATCTGTCGTTAAATTTCCTATATACGTTCATTAAACGCCAGCCCCAAACCCCAGTTGATCTTATGTGACAGTTACTGTTTTTCCATTTTGCTCATTAATATAGGCTATAGGCTAAGCTCTTCTTTAACATGAAAGAAAACATAAAGATCTTCCCGCGGTTCCAGAGGCTGCAGTGCCCTGCATATCTCAGGTCTGGACCAGCGCATCCCTGGTTTAAAAAACTGCCAAGATGAAAAGCAAATTCCCAGCCTCTTCCGACGATCACATTTTGCCATCCTGAATGGCCACTAATAACTTCTGTGTCAACATCAAGGCCTTTTCTCTTCTTCAGCCCGTCTTATCTGGACACCATCACTGAGAGCACAATGGCAGGGTGCTGATAAGAGCTGTGCTGTGACACTGGACAGGCAGATAATCACAGTCTGCTTTCAGACCTCAACAATGGAGCCTAATAAACCCGGCCATTGAAAATGACAGAGCCCAGGAACAGGCTGAGGGCCGCTTCATTTCCATATTTGGGTATTTGTCCATTTCATAATACCGCCGATCTACAGTCCCGGACCAACCCTGAAGCACTCAGCTGATTCCTTCCACAATGAGCTGAAACCTGGAATGGTGTTGCTCTGGTGTCTGTTGATAACCTTTTCCACAAAGGTTGCTCTGAAGTCAAGAATAATAGCTGCTTTTCCGGTTTGCTTTTATCACTCAGTGATTTTACTAATTGTATGATTTTTTTTTCCGATTTTTTTTCTGGGAAAAATGAACACGGATTTAGTTGAAACAATAGGACAAATCTAATTTTTAAAAGAACAGTGTGGACATGTAACCAGTTCATATTTTGTCTCAAGTATTAAATGTATTGAATGCTGTCCAGTCTATTGTTTAATAATTGTCCCTTCCTACAGTGTAAGAGCAGGCTTTTAGTCCCTGCAACATTGGGATCATGGTGAGATGCTATTGTATGAGTTCTCTAAGATCTGTGTGCAAGGTCACACAAAGCACTTTGACACTGGCAGACTGCAGATTCAGACTGTCAGCGTGGTTGGCCAGAGGCAACTGACAAGCGATCTACCAAAGTGCAACGACATCAGGTTGACAGTCTTGATGTGGAGCTTCTTCAATGAGCTCTGCTCTCTTTCTCTCTTTCCTCTTCCAGCCTCCATCGATCGTGTCTCTACAGAGGTGCACGAAACTCTCTTTTAAGGATAGGATGTCAGGAAGCGTTTTTTCAGGACCCTATGCAGACGGCCCAATCCGGAGGGGAGTGAGTGAGACAAACACGGGGAAAAAAAGAACTAGGATCGGAGCTGGAAGAACAGAGGGGCGTGTCCAAGGTGCGCCGGTGCTCAGGGGGGGGCATGGTCCAGGCAAACAAGTCTGAAGGGTGTTCATAGGGAAATCCATGTGAAGGCAGATGTCCAGAACCGGGTGGTCCATCCGTGACGAAGACGAGACAGAGTTAAAAGCCGGAGCGGGATCTGGCGAAGGGTCTGGGGAATGGGGCCGGGCGCTCCCAGCCTGAGACCCAGATGGTCAGGACGCCGTTGCGAAGCCTGTGCAGTCGAGCCTCTCCTGGACTCGCTGGTGGGCGGACTTCCGGTCGTCCATCTTCCAAAGCTGAGCCTGGATTGGTAGGAGCGTCTGGCTTCTAAAGGGGAGACTGGAACAGGAGGCAGGTGCAGGAAATCAGAGGTAAACTAGGAAGGGCTGGAGCGTCCTTAAGAGGAGGGGTTTACGATCGTGACATAGGAGGCAATTCAAGAATAGATTGGGAAAATAAATCCAATCAGATTGTGACAGAAGTGTCACGGTTGGAATTTCAGAGGGGGGTGCAACAATATTTTGGTTCTTGCTGGCAGGGCAGGAGTGAGAACATGCTTAGTTGGTCGTGAGCAGCACACAGCAGGAACATGGCAGAAATTTAGTTCTCCTTTCCCCAGGGGACTGACACGGGAAGATGCAAGAAGAAGAAACCTTTACAGATGCTCAATTTTGCCAGTCAGTCATATCTTTCCCACAAGACAACAAAAAGCCCCAAGACCTCTCCAGAGACCAGAAAGATCCTGACGTCTCCTGTCTCAACAGAATGATAGATCACAGGCAGCAGGAAAGACAGACTGCACACCACTGAAGTACTTAAACATGGATCTCTCACCTGCATGCACAAGGGGTAGATGTGTGGGTGACAGACAGGCTATACATAGGTGTGAAATATGGATTTGATCTCCATGGTCTTTTCATTGAGCTTTAAAACTGGAAATTCAATTATCTCCAAAGGCAGGGCAAAAATCCGATCACAACATTAATTTTTCTCATTAACAGCTAACAGATGAACACAGTGCTAATACTTATACTCAAAAGAATAGTATCCAAATCCATTGGTCTATGTTCAACACAAACTGAATATTCATTTGGAGCTGCTTATTATGTGAGCTGTAATTAAAACTCGAGGATTTTCTCACACTTCATATTCTTTAACACGTGAACAGAAAGAGGAAAAAGGAAGAGGGAAGGTTCAACTAGGGGGATATTTCTTGGCGTTTATTTAAAGGAGACCTGCATATGAAAAAAACAAATAACTTTTTGCATTTGTTTTATAATAATTTCAGAATAAATCAAATTTCTGTATACAGTGCCCTCCGGATTTATTCATTCCCCCCAGTGAAATATGAATTTTGTCGATTAAAATGTATGCTTTGCTAGAAGGTCCAGTGGCCGCCTGGTCTGAGCCTCCTGGCGGAGACACAGGAGTTTGGCTAAAATGTCCCGGTACATGTTGAAGATGATGATTTCCACAATCCTGACAAGGCCACTGGGGACCAAGCAGCTCAAAATAATAACAGTCCCCCACTTACCTGCCACAATGGGCACGAGTGACTTTTCGTGAGCTTCACCTTTTTCACTCTGAACATAGCTGTAATCAGCAGGCCCAGCCTGTGGTTTACTCAGACATAGCTTGGCCAATTCGAGTTGCCTCTTTTTGTGGGTTGCCTTCTCCATAGACACCTGGACATAAACAAACCTGTTTGTGATGGAGGACTGTGGATATTCAATTGCTTCACAGCCCATGGGGGCAAGATATGCTTGTGTCCTCTTCTTGGTATGGTTGACACTATGCCCGAAGCCTTAACTTTCCTACAGAGCAGGAAATTGAGCTTTTTGTGGATTCATTTAAGTTCATCTTCCAACAGCTTGACCATTGGCAATCTTCAGAGAGCTCTCTGACCTTAACCATGATGATGCATGCTATGTCTTCTGTGTGTTACCTCCTTTTATATCCCAGGGAAACAGGAGGCCTTTGAAGTTCTCTACAGAGATCCATAGGCTTTTACTGTTCTCCAAAGAACAGAATGTTACTGTAGATTTGTCACTGCTGAATTTTGTTTAAAGGTATACAGAGAGGTGTGAATGAATGTGACGCATGAGTTTTTTGTATTTTGGTTTATTATTCACTGTGAATGTGACTTTGCTGTGTGCAATGCAATAATGACTGGAGTATAATGGTTGTAGAATTTATTGAACAAGACACTGTATTCAAAATGGAAGTCATTCTGTTCTAGGTTTTCAGTTTTTAATATGTCTGGAGGAAATTAGACATTACATTTACTGGGAGAACACACACATCCCTTCTGAGATGAGACTTCAAAAACACTACATAAAAGACTTTCCTGTGGGATTCCCACGGAGAAAAAGTGCATTTATGCCAATATAAGAGTATTTTCAGTATTTTCAACCGTAAGAAAAATGCAACTGTACCTTGGGTGGTCACTCGAGTGGATCTTTGCAAATTGAAAAAATATATAAAGAAAAAGAAAAACATTGAGAACAAAACAAAAGACATTATCCCAACTAAGCTCGAGAGGTGATACATCAAAACTAAAAGCAGGAATGAAAATGTTCTGTTCTCGGTTCGTTGCACATTATCACGTGTAACAACTCCCCAAAACACTCCGAACGCCAGGTCGAACATTATTGTGTACAATATGAACGCAGGACAATTCCAATCTCATTCGTGTTTAAAAGGCCAATATTTCTTCATTGCTCTATATTTTAGCATGAACCCTAAATTACGCAGATCACAGCGGTTATGCAAATGACACCGTTAAGGCATTGTCAGAGTGAGAGGACTGGGCATCATTGCCATTTCATTTTGCAGAAAGCAAGCGCAACTAAGCAGCGTCATTCTTTATTTCGTGTTTTTTTTTTTGTTCAGTCGAAATCTTAACGAGCAATTTTTATAAATTTTTAATACCTTGTGAGAAATTACTTTAACGCATCTCGGATCGTTTATCGACATTGGGGATAAAAAATGATAGAATAAGATCTGCGCCTTGCTTGGCTTTATCTCTCAACTGATGTCGAGTATAGCTAATAACATAATTACAAATATTATTTTACGCGGACAACTCGTAATAGATATAGTACATCGCAAATTAACATATTTTATCTTATTAAGCTACGCTGTAGACTAGAATTGTTTAAACCTTTAAAAGATTTAATGACTGGGGATGGAGCGGCATTCTAATAATATAACCGAGCAACAGTTTCAGTCCTGCGCTCGATATATCGTGCACTACCGTTCATGTACACAAATATAACTCAGATTGCATTCTTCTTTGTACTTCAGCACAACGTGAGGCAATTCCTGAGATAACTGTTACAAAGTAGACACCGTAAAATAAAAAGAGGAAAAACTAATTTCAGTTTAAGACCAAACATGGCAGGGCCTATAATAATAATAATAATAATAATAATAATAATAATAATAATAATAATATTATTATTATTATTATTATTATTGTTGTTGTTGTTGTTGTTGTTGTTGTTGTTGTTATTATTATGTTTATTATTATGTGGTGGAAGATAAATTAAACATCCTAGCAGCCCATATAGGCAATGTGTCATTTTCAGCGGCAACTAAAAAAACATACAGTGGGCATCACATCAGATCATCTTCAGGGTTGCTCGCTGCCTTGTAATTGTGATGTTGACCAATGTTTATCGCTCGAGGTGGTAATTTATTCCCGGAACCAGCAACTACAGCACAAACAGGGAAAAAAAAGGCCCCTCACGCCATAACCTGGAAATAACTTCGACGCCGTTAACACTTCACTCTCCAGGGGATCAAAACGGATCTCAGCAGTGTTGATGAAAAAAAATGCAAGGGCAGAAGCACGGTAGGGTCTTAGGGAGCTGTCCAAAATACTATCCATAGATGAGGGCGCATTGCTCCCTGGTATTCATTTCTCAGCTTCCCACTTCAAAAACAGCCCATCCGATGTCTTATCCAATGCGCATTCCGGCGGGGGAGTGCAGATTTCCAAGGGGGTAATAAATTGGAGACGACACCGGAATCTGTTGAATCTGCCCGCTGTGGAGACGGTAGCTGTTTTGGGTAATGACCTTCTCTGGTCGATGTTTTAGAGACAAATGTATCAAACGTGTCTGGAGGTTAAGCGGTTAGAGGCAGCCCAACGTCTCAGTTTATAAACTAAGAAGTTCTGCGCTAAGATGGCAGCTGATAATTCAAATTTAAAGTGATAGGAGAAGATCGGGATGTCGTGTCGGATAAAGTTTCCTTTTAGAAACTTGGGGGGGAGAACTATCCCAAGACCTTGTTTGGCCTTCTTATGCAATGAAATATGAAGTGGCTTGAATTACGATCCAGAGTTTGACAGTTTACACACACACACACAGAAGCGTGAAAAAAAGGCGAAAAGGAGGAAGTTCGTTCTTTAAACAAACAGCCCTGATTTTGATTTACACCAGGGGCTGTTCCTTTAATAATTTATGGCTAGATGAATTTATTGCCCTGCCTGGGCTAGCTGCAAAATTCGAATTGCCAAATAATTAGATTTTAGTGCAGCGCTTATAAATTATCCTGTGATTTGTCTGGACCTGTTTGTCAGTTGCCTTGTGCTTCGGGTCATCTGTGGCATTTGCCTGTTTGTTTCTTAATTGCTGAGTTACACTTAGACAGATGAGTCTTGATGCCTGATGTTTCGGAAGGGTTTAGATTATCTGTGCCGAGCGAGGAGAGGCCTTTGTAATAGAAATACAAACTGTTTAATAAAAAGAAAAACATTTTCAAATTACTTCTAGCTTGAGCACGTGTGAATTCCTCTAAAGCAACTTGGAATTCAATTTTTATTGTTTTCTACTGACTATGCTATGTCCCAGAGCGCTGGCAATTACCAAATTCGACCATAAAAGACTTCTGTTAAAAACATAAAGAGCACATGAAGGAACATCTGTTGAGGACATTTTCTTCAACTCAGCTGTGGTGAGAGGCTTCCAACCTGAAAATTCTGACTGGCGGAGAAAAGACTCTGCCGTGTTAGGGATAAGAGGACACATGTTTCTGAGGTGCAGGAGAATAAGGACTCCAGCACAGACAGGTGCTGAGGTTCAGTCCCAGCCTTCACACCAGCATCCTGAGATCTGAGCTGGAACTTGACAAGACTTCTAAGATTGTAACTTCATTCAGTCGTTGAGGAATTCAATTCCTCTTGAGATTGCGGGCTTTTCATATATATTGATCTATTCGTATATCATTTATATTTTCACTTAAAACACACACAAAAAGCTGCGTTTTACGAGCTCTCGCATTTATTCAAACTTACACACAGAAAATTGTCCTACAGAATTTTCCGTGTCCTACCGAAAATTGAAAATCGCATTCAGTACCAACACAGAAGAAAACTCCTTGCTTGGGATGTACTGTGTTATTCCGCAGTAATTGAGGCTTATGCAATACAGTGTGGATCTCGGATAATACAACAGTGGATAAATAATATTGTATATATGTATTAAGGACCTACAACATTTTAAAATTCTAAAAAAAACAACTTTTTCAAACAAACCTAAAATGAATATGCTGCAGATTGAATTAACACATATAGGCAAGACATGAAAGGTGCTGGTAAGCCATTACAGCACACGGAACATAAACAGCAGACAGGCCAACAGGGAATAAAACACAACATCCTGGACCGGTCTAAATCAGGAAGACAGATTTACAGACAGGCTGGCAATGATGCTGTTGCTCTCCTGCCAGTCTGGCGGTCTATCTTTCTTTTTCTTCCCTCTGTTCTCTCGCTGTCCTTTCTGTAATTTAAGCACTATGCATTTTAAATATCCATGAGAACCAGGATTCAGGAAATAAATAACACGCCCGCTGGCTCCAGCCAGAGGTGGGATTTCTTTGCGTTAAGGTTCAGTGCACATCAGCAGCAACTGGATCTGTTTTAAAGGCATGGCAGAGAACAGGGTCCCACTGCTCTTGGTTTCACAGGGCAAACCTAAAGAAACACAGACTGAAGTATGGAACCTGGATGGAAATCTTTCAGCCCTTTGTCTAAAGGGTAAACCCAGCTCTTCTGGGTTTTTACAGAAAGTGACCTTCCAAAATTCCACTGTTGTATTAGCAAAATGGCGATAGCTGTCATTGTCCCGCCTTGCCTGATTACAGCAAAGTCTTGCTGTCCTGATAAACAAGCAAGAATCTTTCAGAGCCCTGCTCTCTACACACTCTCCCCCTTCGTGTAGGCCAGTTTTGTCCATTTAAATGCGCAGTGATAGGAGGTGCCTGCAGCTACGGTGCTCAGAACGTAATTAGAAGAAGGACAAAGAGGAAATGACACGTTGAAGTCTGAAGACCGTTGCAGTTCAGGCCCGCATTACAAGGGCATCATGGCAGTAACCCTTCAGCTGCCTTGGCCAGGAGGTGCCTGCTGTCATCAAGCACGATCCAGGGGACAGCCCTCACGAGCCTATCAGCTGTGTGCACTGTTTAATGTGAAAGCAGCATTTCCACCTTCTGGCCTGGTCCTTCTCTGATCTCAGAAGCTAATGAATGTGGGACAGTACTGGGATGGGAGGCCTCTAAGAACACACAGGCTGCTGGTGTGAA